AGTCAATATTACAAGAGTTGGAGAGATCTCAGCCATCCTTGGATCAAGTACATAGGCATGGAAAAATCTTTCAGTTTGAGTATTCCACTTTTCCAGCCTGAAATCCATTCTGTTCCGTTATCTTCATAAGGATGCAAGTACTTTTTTTTACCTCAGCACGAATATTCATATGCATTTAGTTCCACATATAAATAAATATTAGGAATGATTCCCCCCGATACACATATTTTGAATGCATTTTCCGTAATGTACATGTTTTCATAAACAATCTCCATATACAATAATACATCATCATCATGTGCTATTAAGTCAGTTCTGACTTTTGGTGAGCCTTTCAATTGTTTTCTAGGTAGAGAATACGCAAAAGTAGTTTACCATCCCCTTCCTCTGGGTGTGTTTTGGGGCTGTGCAACTGGCCAAGGTCACAAAGTCTGGCTCTACTCACAAGAGGCACAGGGAGAATTTAAATCCCAATCTCTGGCTCCGCAGCCAGATACCAAAACCATGGAATTATCTAGCCCGTTTTCATAAATGCAGTGCATTTTAATGTCATTTTGACCAATATAATATCTGTTTGTATGTGTTTTTGTGTGCATATTTTTGTATTCACTTCTTCATCAAAGAACTGTGCCTCAAAATTCAGAAGAATGTAAATAGTGACGAGTAGCAGCATTTTAGTTTCCACCTTGGTCTAATATCTGTGAATTAAAAATTAAAATGCAGAGGAAACAAACTTCTTTCTCATCCCTAAGGCCAGACCATTAGTTCTGGCAGTCTTGGGTTCCGTTATGGCAATATAACCATAACGTTCTTATGTGATAATATTAAGAGTTAAATATAAAGCAACAATTGTGACATTTTTACTAAGTAGGGGTTAGTACATTCCCATCAGTAAGTACATATAGCAGTACCCATAGGTCCTTGATAAAGATTTTCTTTTAATAAGAATGTGATCCTCTAGAAAGCAACTGTGGGGGCTTTGCAGGATTTGAATTTACTCCTGAAACACAGCAGTTCCAAGTGAAATATAATGAGCCTTACTTCTGCCTTCATGTCTCCTGAAATATTTACGTACCTCCTTAAATATTTAATGTTTACTGTATTATGGATTATCCAGAGAGATGTAGGGATCAATAAATACATCTCCCTGCCCTCAAGTATCCAAAGCATTATTTAAGTGACATACCAGAGCACCTTAATGCACAGCTTAACACAGCAATCTCTCATCGACAAAGATCGAAATAATGAATTTCAAGGTCTCGCAAGAGCAAGACATGAAATATAAACCTGCAAGACTGATAATAAAAAAGGTGTATGTGTGTGGGATTAAGAAGGGAGTAGACTGTGAGTCATAGGCTGTGTTTCCAACTTATTTATATAGTACTGTGTAGTTATGGCTGCACTAAGGATCACTATCATAATCTGAATTATTATTATTTTTGCGGATCTTCACTTTTTCTCAGCCTATGGATAGTCATGGCAGAGTGGATGTAAATTCTTGTACTAAGTTAAAATTTATATTTACCAAGCTCCCACTAAGTCATTGTGATTTATTCTTTCTTTCTTTCTTTCTTTCTTATTAAAATTTATATTTACCAAGGTCCCCCTAAGTCATTGTGATTTACTCTTTCTTTCTTTCTTTCTCTTTCTTTCTTTCTTTCTTTCTTTCTTTCTTTCTTTCAATATAAACAAAAAAACAAAGTACAACAAAAATGATTAGTAACTATATACACAATATCATCATTATTGCAAGTAATTCCTCTTATACATACTCATTCTTGTTTCTAACATTCAGTGCTCTCCCCTCCCACTGGGACCTTTTAAGAGATACCCATTTAATTTTTCATTCCAAGCCTTTTGTCACTTCCAAAATTGTCATGTTTCTTGTTCTGGTGCTTGGCCTTTCCCTTTTACAAAAACATATTCTATAAAGTGTCTATAAATGCCATTAACTTTATTCATTTTTTACAAACGCTTTTAATTTAATTTCACTTGGGATCTTGTCCTTAATAGTTAAATTCCATACTTCTTAATTGTTGTACGCCGCCCAGAGACCTCTTCATTAAATGTATTCATTTTTTACAAAATAGTTAATTCCATACTTCTTTACACCATTCACTTGTTTGGAAGTTGTATTTGACTTTCTATTTTTTTCCCTATAATTCACCTTGCTGCCATAACTAGATATGTTATCAATTTCTTTTTTTCTTTTTTCCTATTTTCTATCATTCTCAAAATTGGACAAAAGTAAATTTGGGGGCATGGTTCCACCTTAATATATAGCATTTCAGTAGCATCCTGAAATATCATCTTTCAGAATTTAAAAACAGAATCTCATTTCAATTTGACTTTTCTTAACTCTTCAAAATTAACCTTTCTTAACCCTTGTAGATTCTTAATTATATTTATACATAAATATTTTATCGCTTATTTTGTATTCTCTATCTCTTGTTTTTAAACCTGCCTCTTTTATGCTATAAGCTCTTTATTTTTACATGATCTTTATCCTCATATGAAGATGGTAATCACACCTGTACATTTTCATAGATTGCAGGGAGGTATTTTTAAGGATTTGTGCCTACAGTTTTCTTCAAAAGTAAGATGACTGTATTTTTACATTGTGAAGCAATTTTGTGCCTATGGAACCAATGTAGAATAGGACAAGCTGAAGTTGCCTGGAATTATTCCAAGAGTGAAAAGACTTACACCTTGAGTCTCAGATGAATTTTTATATGATTGTTAAGGATTGTCTGTTTTTATTGTGGAATTAATGCTTTTTCGGGATAATCACTGTAATAAACATAGGCTTCTGATTTTTCCCTGAAGGCTTACAAAGTTCTGTAGGACCCCTAGGGAGGGTCAAGCATCAAGTTACCTGATCTGACTACCTGTTGTGCATCGGAGCTAAATGGAGAAGGGTACAGTCTGACCCGCAATGATTTCAGGCTTTTGGGTGGGGAGGGCAGTGATGGGGAAGTCATTAATTCATAGAACTTCAATATATGAGTACATAATAAGAATTTTTTAAAAAGCTAGCATAATGAATAGCCTTAAAATAAAATGAATTTTTTTCAATTAACTTAGCAAATTCAATGGTTAATCTAATATTTGCTTTTTTAAAAACACCTTCAGAAGGCTACTCCAGTAACAATGTACACAGTTCAGGTGAAATCTTGCTTGCCAGATCCTTACATCTGATAGAACAAGTCCGTAAGAAAGGTGAAGCAAAGAAATAGTAAGAAGACAATAATGAAGTGTCTAAAATTCAAGAATGTTATGATTAGAAGGAAACACACACACGTTATTCTAGAACTTAGCAAGCATGTTTACTATCTGCTTCTGGACCTAGTGCTTTTCAAAAGGATAATTCTGGATCATCTCTCTGATTTAGGAATTGAAGACATTGTAGTTCATAAATTCTTGAAGACTGTCTTCGGGAATTATCAGTTTGTTATTTATACCAGAGTCTTACTGGGTTCTGTACTGTTTATCACTCTTCTTAACTTCTGCATCATATTTTTATCCTATTACTGCACCTGCAGAAAGTCAGCCAGGGAAGCTATTTTGAGTTAAGAGTCTATCACACCAAAGACCACTGAAAGCTGAGGACAATATACATAGTTGTTCATATCTGCTTGATTTAATGCTATCAACCATGAATGATATCTGTTTGAACCACATGATGAGTTCAGGCTTTATAGTGGTTCAAGTTCTTCCTCTGGAGGGTTTGTTTCAGATGTTACAATTCAAGGAATTGAGTTTGAAATTTGTAGTATGCTTCAGTGTTTAATCTTGCCCTGTATTGTGGGCCTATCACCAAATGGGCCCGCTCTCCCCCACCCCCACTGAAGAAGGCACATTGACACATCACTAGGGGGAAAAAGGCCACAGCTTTATTGATAACTGCCTGCAGTTCTTCTGGCCTGAACCAAGGAGGTCAGACCACATCATCTTGATGGCTGGTGTCTGTTGTGTATCAACTGCAGGTCTGCTTTCATAGATAGGATCGAGTCCAGTCCCTTGCAGTATACAAGGTCATTCTTGCCGAGGTGGATCAAAAGCACATTCAGCGGCCAACTGGCCCTCAACCACTGCCATAGGAGAGGCAGTAGCTCAACCCAGCACATGCCTCTATGACCTAGCCAGGTAATGCACAGCACTTTTTTCATGCCAACGTCATGTCCCCACTTGGTCTGCCTTGCATGGAGACCTGCTCAGTAGACAATGTTCTGTCCCCAGACCCAGACAGTCTTCCAAGCACCTGTGGAAAAGATCAGGGCTTAAGTTAGCCTGCTGCATCAAAGCTGCAAATATGTGAGCTTTATATGTTGTGGGGGCAACCCCAATGATGCTGTCTGAGTTGCTGCACCAATCCAAAAAGAGTGTGATGTGAGCCCGGCCCCTTGCAGGGTCAGCCACAGTACTTCTCTGAATTGGTATAGCATGAGGAGGGACCTGTCAGCATGTATTAATAAGGGTCAGCTACCCTCAAGGCATTTGCTTAAAACAGTTTTGACAGTTTTTACTGGACAGGGCCACCTCCTTTGAGAGCACCTAGTATAATTTGAGCTCCCTATCCCTGTTGGCCAGTTTTTAAGGTATGTAACCATAGGCTGAGCTCACAATCCTGTATATGTACATCCTCCCTATGCCTTGTCCTCTTTAACCCCCATGAGAGCTGGCAACCAATTTTCCCACCCAGAAGGCCCCAATTAATTCCAAGACATAGGCCGTGTGGAAAAGAACCGTCTCATAATGTGATTGGCAGACACTGGGGAGTTTGTTTCTTACAGAAGTGACAATTCCCAGTGTAATAGGCTTCCTTCCACCTGTAACCCAAGGTGCCATCTTCTCCCACTCTACCATGGCCCTCTTAAAAAGTCTGGGATTGCTGCTTTATGCATGTCCAATGTCCTCACAGCCCGTCCCTCCACGCAAAGAAATGATAGGTACTGAAGAATAGCTATCTGTGAAGCCAGCAGTGATGTGGGACAGCCTGCCTGCCCCAGGAATGAAACAAAGGAATCCATAGCTGAGCGATAAGGTTGCAGGGTTGTGGGGACTACTGAGTTAAATACCCCTTGTATTACTTCTGCCTTCCAAGGCTTCACAGCTCTTGAGGGAATGGATCCAGACTGGTGTTTGCCTGCAGGGCTAGATGCTGAAATCTGTCCTCCTGAAAATGAGGCAGGGCATACACAATACTGTTATCAAGCCTGGGGACAAACCTAGCTGAGAAGGTGATGTTAGCTGACAGGCCCAATAGCATCAGCCCCCTCAATGAGTCACATGGCCCTCTCTAACCTGGAGGACTGGCGAATGATCATTGCCGCCACCACCACTTGGTTGTCACACTGGAACTTAACACATTTGTCTCAAAGTTCATCCCACCAAATGGTGACTGCAACTACAATTGGGAAAAGCATTAAGAACATAAGATCCTTTAATATAGCTTGAAAAGAATACCCCAAATTGCATACCTCCAGCTACATCAGACTGGATCTGCAAGCTGGCTCCCAGCTCTCATGACTGTTGCCAGATGGTGATGCCATTGAAGCTGTTCAGGAAGGTTTGCCACATCTGGAGATCCTGCTTCATACCTTTGGTCAACCTGATGCAGTGATGTGCCACTTTCACCCCTGACGTTGCCCTGGCTAGCCTACTGCAAAATACCCTCCTCAGTGCCACCACCCTGCATGCAAAGTTCAGATGACCTAGAAGTGACTGCAGTTCCTTTAACACACACTTCTGTGACAGAAGGGCTGTGATGGTGTCCTTCAAGCCCAGGACAGATTGAAAACACCTTGATCCAGGTCCACCAGCCAGCTGCTGACCACCTGTGCCAGCCAATCAGGGAGCGCCTGTGCAATCCCTGCCAGCTGAGCAGCTCCCAGCAAGCTGGATTGGTTTCTGAAAGCAGTAATGGGCTGGATGAAGGCAAATAAACTTTCTTTTTTCTTTCTTTTAATTAGAAAATCTATATATTGCCTTACTTAGTGACAAGCATTACCCTGGACAGTTAACAATTAAAAAAAAAACTTATTCCAAGCAAGACAGATACATCAGCAGTCAGGAGACAGACAGACTTGAGAATAGGATGTCAATTATTCCAGGCAAGACAGATACATCAGCAGTCAGAAGACAGACAGACTTGAGAATAGGATGTCAACTCCTTAGAATGATGCACTGCACCCCTTAAAGAATCAGCATCTCAGTTTAGAATTGCTTGTGAACTCAGATTTACTGTACACCTGGATATGTAATGAATGGCTGTAGTTAGGGATGCCTTGGGCCACTTTAGGTATACTAGCATCCATCTTTCTTAGTTACATATCTAGATTGAGTCCTCTTTCTCCAATTTTGGAAAGGTATGCCATATAGTTCTGAGACATTTTTGTGAAAACTACTGATGTACTTCTTGCAAGCTAGTCAAAGAAAGAAGCCTTTCATTGACTTGACAACATTCACATTCAACAGCAGATAAAATCAACTGAAAGTGTCTTAGAAGAAAGCCCTAGTGACAAAGTTGGACATGTTTTTAGAGTCATTTCAAATAATAACTTTATTTTCTGCCACCAGCAGCTTGTGTATACACATCTCTGCTGGATATCTCAAAACCCAGCACAACAGAATGTGCCAGCTACTGAAGAAAGCAGCATATGGGCATGCGGATGCATGCAGGTTAAGTAAGTAAGCAAGCATGATATGTAACATTACACAAAGCCATGCCTGATCACAGAGCACATCTCTTAAAACAGTATAGGGTAAGTAAGTAAGCAAGCATGATATGTGACTGCTAGCCATGCTTGATCACAGAGCACATCTCTTAAAACAGTAGTCTTAGCTCTCAGTTTCCTAACTTTGTGGCATGTGAACCAACATAAGGAAGTCTTAACTCTGAGTTTTATTTTATTGTTTTTAAATATTGTTAGCCACCTTGAATGATATGCAAATGCTATAAGGGAAGGATATATTGTTGTAGGCATGTATACATATACATTCATGCATACCTACATAAAAACTCAGAATGAGGTCATCTGGTAATTTGAATGTGAAATTTCCTTAATAAGCAGTTGCATTGACTTCTATTACTTAATCCATCATTAAAATTAACTCTAATATCGACAAACACTACCTAATTGCTATCTGTTTTCTTTTGATCAATACTCCTATATGCCCAGACAAGGTGGATGCAGTTTTGAGTTCACTGTGGAGATGTTTGCTGTGTAACATGGAATAGAAAAATTTTCTAATTTTCCAGCTCCCGAGTGAGTCTATAAACAAGCCTGGGTGAAAATCAAAACAACTATACCACCTGATGACACCCATTTCATTTTCTGTGGCATCCCTCCTTCATTACATCCCCATTCAGACAACAATTTATAATTGTCAGAATCACAGAACTGCAAAACTGGAAGAGACCCTATGGATCATCAAGTCCAGCTTCTGTGAAGGAGGCACAGTGGGGAATTGAACTCCTAACCTCTGGATCCACAGCAAGATACCTAAACTACTGAGCTATCCGGCATGGATTCAGCCTCCCCCCTTCCCTTCCTGATCACATCTCCTTACCTTTTAGATTGTACCTGATGAACAGGTGGTATTTTCAAAAGCTTGCACAGGTATTTGTTTTCTGCCAGTATGACGATCACTGTTTTTTGTAAAGCAAGGGGAGACCTATGCAGGTGTTCAGAATTCTCATAGACATATAGGGGAGTGCTGAGCCCTAATCCTCTGTTGCCAATGTTCTTACTCTTCCATGCATGGAGAGTGATGCATCTAAAGAGGAGAGCCTCTTTCTGCACATGGTGAATCCTTACATAAATTGTAATCCTCTGTTGCCAATGTTGTTACTCTTCCATGGAGAGTGATGCATCTAAAAAGGAGAGCCTCTTCTGCACATGGTGAATCCTTACATAAATTAGTTCTCAAGGCAGGGGATATCAGATTCCAACTATCATGGAATGTCCTTACACATAGTAGGAGCTTTCCTCTTTAGACACATTGCTCTACACACATAGAAGAGTGATGGCATCATAAAGAGATGGGGTTGCAGGATTCCCCTCTATGCATGTTAATTAAACACAAATTTCAAATTCCTGAATTGAGCTGACAGACATTTATCCTTCTTTTCTTTTTCATCTAAATCATCTGAGGCAATAGAGATGATGAATTAATTCTTGGGTACAGTAATGAACTGGATGAAATTCTATTGGATTGAAGAGGCCTGGGAAATGGCGATCCCAATAACTCTTCTACAATGTTCTAGGACCTAGCCAAGGTTGCAGCATCCTCATAATAAGATTCTGGACAGACCGGAAGGAAATAATAATATTAAGACTTACATAATGATTTGAATTGAGGAGTTCTTATTATCTTCCTTATTTTGCATTTGATAACCATACTCCCAATCTGCCACATTAATCTGCATTTTTAAAAAGCAGGACAATTTACATTTAAAAACGTGCTTTGAAAATATATTTGTATTCAAATACCCATTTCTAAATACATTTCATCTGAAAATACACATTTTAAATGTAGTCTGGAATAGTTCTTGAGGCAAGAATTGCAGAGAATATTTGGGAAGTGTAAAATAGCTCAGTGAGTTAGGTATCTGACTGAGGAACTAGAGGTTGGGAGTTTGATTCCTCATTGTACCTACTATGATCACAGCCAGCCTGTGTGGCCTTGGGCAAGCTGCACAGTCGCAGGATTCCCCCAGAAGAAGTGAATGGCAAATCACTTTTGAGTACTCTGTACCTAGAAAACTCTGAAATGGGTCACAATAAGTCAGGATTAACAGCACACTATTGTTATTAAAAAGTCAGTGCATAAATAAATCATAACCTGTACTTAGTCAGAAAAGTATGGATCTGGTGTGTTGATTTCAGAATTCACAAACATCACGTTCTTCTATTATCCTCACTGATTTTTCCAGTCTTCATTTTGTTCCAGTTGACTTGCAACTTAGAATGTACCTTAGCTTAAATGAATCATGGCAAATTGGGTCTCCATCAAAATGTGGGAATGTTACCAATTTTAATTGCATCATTCATATATTGTATGTAAATAAGAATAGATCAAGGGTTGAAAGCCCTAAAGAAATACAAATTCTGTTTACCATCTCATTAAGAGATCACTCCCCTTGAAGCTTCACTCCTCCAGAAGAAAGTAAACAGTTAATACTTTGAAGAGAGAGCACAAGAGTTTTTATTCAGGCAGCTCAGTTAAAAAGTAATTTATCTGAGAAGCTTAATCAATTCTCATTTTGAATGTGTACACCACCTTTCCGCACTCCATTGATGGAGTTACAAAAGATGCACTTCTAAGATAGCTTTCAACCATGCCATTTTCTTTTTAAAGTGTTAATTTTCTCTTCCACATTGAGATTTGCTGTTAACCACTGATCTGTTAACTAAAAAGAGAAAGAAGACATTAGCCACATGCTTCATACCCTTTCACCAATCTGTCTTATAATGACTTCATAAAATCCTGCAGTATGACCATATTTGGAATACTCTCTTAAGTGCAGCATTCAAAACACAAATGCTTTCATTTCATTACTTACATATGTTCATTTCATCACATCTTCCATTTTCAGGCAGAACAGTTGTGCCTTTAATTTCATCCTCACTCACTGAGAGAAGCCAATAGAAATGATTAGTTTTACTCGGTATCATTTAGGATAAAGGAGTGTGTAAAATTATTTCAGATAAATAGTAAACAAAACTATTGACTCGTCCTAAATTTCAGATTATATTTAGAAGACTGTATTAGGAATAATATTGTGAAAGCAATAGTTGACTATGTCTAAATGACAGTCAGTAAAATAACAATGAATCCAAATTATATCTGGGACAGCGCTGGTCCTGCTTGAATAGGTAAAGTAAAAACTCTTTGAGTCTCAATTTTGTTGAGTTCCTCCAATCTTCACTGCATTATTGTCCCATTTTTCATTTGATTCAGGTTATGCAACATTGTCTCCTTCCCCCCCCCATGGATATTCATAAGAATTTTTGTACCCTTTGTTCCTAATGTGCACCTTTTTGTATTCATATTTCCCATTAATTAAGGTATGCATGTGCATATTTTTCAATTGTACACACTTTTAGTCATTCATAATTTAACATTTATATTTTGTTCAGTGAGTGCATTAATTATTCAAAGTCCACCACAAGTCTAACAAATATGCAAATACCCAAGAGCAAAATAACCTTTCTTTCTCTGTTGGTCTTGGTAGGTGCAATACAGGAACTTTCCTCTGGAATTTTGACTTCCACAAAAAAATTCCCCCTCCTAGTCTTACTAAGTGGTAAAGAAGGAATATCTCATGACTGAACCCACAGCTTTGGTTTCTCATATATTTCTCTGAAGAAAACATACTGCAATTTTTGTGCCACCGCTGAATAGATTTTTTCTTCAGTAGACTCTACTCACACCACAATTCACAGAAACACTTTGTGTACACACACACACACACACACACACACACACACACACACACACACATTTGTGAGCAGTTCCTGTGATAAGAAGTCATACTAGCTACATTAGGAATATTAATTTCAAATATTTCAAAAACCTCTGATTTATGAATGTGGGATATTGTGCTTCTGGATTCACAATTCATACTGCTGCATAATATCATGCCCATGTTGCCAGCAAGAAAGATAATTGCCCAGGTTTACCTAATAAAGGTCAGGCTGGATGTTAACAACACAAATAGCAGCAGTCAAGATGGTTTACAGGATACTCTCTTGTGCTCACTATCATTCACAAAGAGACACAGAGCATGGGAAAATACGAAAAGGTTATCAGCTAACCACTTCTCATCCAAACGCAAAACAATTGTTTTTTGACAAATGTGAATGGTAGAGAACAGAAGCATGTATCCATTGATGTTGCAACATTCCGGCTGCCATTTGCTATCTGAAGCTTAGTATCCTTTTTCATGCTGGCAATGTGGGCACAACATTGTGCAACATTCAAGCTGTTGTTTGCTATGTAAAGCTTAGCATCTTTTTTCCCCCTGCTGGCAATATTGGGCCATTTCCTGATATTTTGAATGATGGATACAGAAGCACAATATTCCACATTCACAAATCAGAGTCTTTTTGAAGAATTAAATTGAGAGAAAGTGTTTTTTTTCATAAGCAGCACAATTTACTGTTTCCTGTTAGCAGAAAAAGCTGAGGATTTCTCCCAGTCTGGATTTTTTCACTATGGAATAAACAAAGCGACAGATAAATGATTTCTGAGGCAACAAAGCTTTTGCTGGACTGGAAGACAGTGGAACAGGCTGCGAGGTTGGATATTTTCCATGGCTTCAGGCGCAGAGTGTACATAATAAGATGCTACAATCATGTCATGTGCCACAAGACAAAGGGTGATTTACTTCCGGGGAATAAAGAAAGGTAGTATAATGCACTTTTTCTTCCAACTTGCCATCCACCAACACAGAACTGAATTTTAGAGATTAAGGTATGGACACAGCCCAGAATATAGGAAAATTAGGGACATCAGTGGAATGAAAGCAATTGTTGCTTGGGACAAAAAGGCTAGAGTCACATTCCTTCGTACTCACATTCTTGCTCCCATGCTTTTCAATGTTTACTTTTGCAAGATTTTGACTGTTCTGGGTTCTTTAGGCCTTGGTTTGCCTTGATTTTGAGAGGAGCTTCAATTTTCACAATGGGTTAGACCAGTGGTCCTCAACCTTGGGCCTCCAAGTGTTCTTGGACTTCAGCTCCCAGAAATCCTGGCCAACAGAGGTGGTGGTGAAGGCTTCTGGGAGTTGCAGTCCAAGAACATCTGGAGGCCCAAGGTTGGGGACCACTGGGTTAGACCACTCCTTCTGGGAGATTCTATACCTCCCATACAGTCTTTTATATTATTATCCCTCACACCCACAAAACCACACTCCTGGACACACCTCCCTTGAACCTTCCTCACTGTCCACATGGTTGTTGGAACTGACAGTCCAGCAACATCCTGTGGGCTAAACGTTGGTCATAAATTTGGCAAATATACTAATACTTCTTAAGGATATTAGGGGTGTGTGTGGCAATGCTAGTAGTTGTTTGACATACAAATGACCAAAAGAAACAAACAAAAAGACCCACAACAGCTGCTACAGATGTCATTAATCAGTAAACACCCCCTCAAATGTTTTGAAATAATTTCACTGAAATGAATTGCACACATGCTCAAGATGAGCTTTCTTAAGGAAGAATTGTTTAGGCCATCCATAAACAGAAAAAAACAACAACCTCTTTTTCCTGTCTTCACAGCTAGTTCAGCAATGCCTGGGAGAAAGGACTGAGATGGTCCCTGACCCCCTGTTCCAAGTACAGAAACAGCCAATTGGACTGAAATTGAATTTCAGCTTAACAGAGATGGACAGCATCAGACCAGGGGGGGGATCATGTCGCTTGTACTGTATTTAGCCCCTGAAGCTATCTTAGTTGTCCCTGGGCTTTTACACAGTTTCAGTCTTCAATTAGACAGGAGGACAAGGAGATGGAGAAGATGGAGAAGAAGGAATGCTCCATTTGGTGACACCAGAAGGCATAGGTCTGGCTTGAAACACTAGTGTTTTTTTCCATTAAACCACTCTTTTGAGAAACTGCTAATGAACTGGTTTCTCTGAAAAAGGCAGGTTCAGCCTGCAGGTATCTGGTGTAGCAGGAAAATGGAGCTGGCACAACCCTCAGACCAGCCACGTAACTTAAGGGGAGGAGTCCAACCTAAGAAGATGTAGGGCAGGCCATGTAGGGCTTCTTCTACATTGTTGCTTGCAAACAGTTCTTCATATCTGGGCAGCCTAATTTGCATACCATGAAAATTACATACTCTTATTTGCAATACTGAGCAAATTAGGGACATTAATTATTGCATTGTTTTTCTAACGATGGCATTGTTTATGTAGTAATCACTGATCTGAGACAGCCGCTAGAATGTAATAATTAGGAAGTTGGACCTGGACTGTCCCTGCTGAGGCACAGCACTTGCTGGGAGTCCTTGGGTCAGTCAGTATGTCCCAGCTAAACCCTCCTTGTTTCTGATCAAACAAGGAGAGGTGAGCCATGCAAAGCCAAGACATATACACCACCGATGCATTTTGAGACAGGCAGGCAGACATGTTGCTACACATAGAAGCTTCTTGCGACAGAGTTATTATTTTCTGCTGACGGCAAAAGCCTTTTACAAATCAAAGAGAAGACAACAGGAATCCCCCACAAGTAACACGCTGTCATCTAATATGCAGGGGGAAATATCAGGGAGGGGGGAGCAGAAATCAGGAAGCGGAGTATAAAGTGTCACTTTCTGTAGAGATAAAAGACTGGATATTTTACTGTAACTACAAAATGACCTAGCTTAAACTCCTTACCCATATTTGACTATCTAGCTATCCATCTATGGGTAACAGAGCAAATGCCAATGTAGTGTGCCCAATTTCAATTACTCATGCCCAGGAATCCAACCTGCACCCCCTCATTAAGGAGTAACATTTTGCCTCAGCAACTGGTGTGATTTTATGGACTCTCAAGCATGGAAATACTCAACGGAATCTAGCCCATAGATTCTGCTTGAACTTGTCAAAGCAGTTGAATTCAGAGGAATTCCACTGAAGAAACTGCAGAGGTTTTGTAACAAGTACGTAATTTATTTCAGTGTGTACATAGGCATCAATAACAACATACCATAAATCATCACTGACAAAATAAAAGAATTACATATCTAACATCAGTGACATAACAAATGAATAGATGGAAAATATTGAAACAATAATTTCACTCCTGGCTTTAAAAAAAATCCCTTGGCTTTGCTTGTTAGCAGCATCACCTGCAAACAAAGAAGATGTGAAGGAGAATAAACAATATGGTAAAAGTGCTCCAGTAAAATAGAACCGGCTTGTAATGAAATGAGATAAAGATTCTGCTGCCCCTCAGTTCCCAGTTCCCAATGGAAGGAAGGAGGAATGTAAAGCACCCTCAACCATAATGGTTTAGCAGAAATGGAGACCCTCATGAAGTTCAGAGCTATGTGCTTATCAAAAGTGCAGGGAAGGGGGTTGAGGAAAGCTCAGATGTCACAGAAATTCCAGCAGCCAAAGCAGCATGGTAGTGTTTCAGTTATTATTTCAGGTTGAAAGGATGGTCTCCCTAGTAAGCCTGGATAGTACATCAAGGAACTGGAGGTCTCCACCCGTTCTCCAGGCCTGATGAAGAGCTAGGGACTGTGATGTGCTCCAGGTTTCTCCCACACTGAGATTGTTCTGTAGCCCTTCAGTGATTTCCCTTTGGCAAACCTTGGCCTAGTTCTTCCTCTTTACATTCTTATTCTATGGTAATTTTAACAACTGAATATTTTGTTTATTCCTAGTGTTAAGAGTCCCGAGGGACGTGGTGGCGCTGTGGGCTAAACCGCAGAAGCCTGTGCTGCAGGGTCAGAAGACCAGCAGTCGTAAGATCAAATCCACGCGACGGAGTGAGCGCCCGTCGCTTGTCCCAGCTCCCGCCAACCTAGCGGTTCGAAAGCATGCAAATGCAAGTAGATAAACAGGGACCACCTAAGTGGGAAGGTAACAGCGTTCCGTGTCTAAGTCGCACCGGCCATGTGACCACGGAAGATTGTCTTCGGACAAAACACTGGCTCTATGGCTTGGAAACGGGGATGAGCACCGCCCCCTAGAGTCGAACACGACTGAACAAAAATTGTCAAGGGGAACCTTTACCTTTACCTTAGTGTTAAGAGTGCAGGCCTATGACCGTGTTCATAATATAAGAGTGACACTAGGGAAGCTTAATCAGGATTATAAACCTTCCCACAGGCCTTCCTCTCTTCTTTGGACTCCAAATTGCATGGACAGGATTTCATCCAGTAAACCTAAGGGAAGTTTAATGTGTGAGAGAATTTACACCCCTGAGATCCCCAGTTCAGAATCCAAATGGAGCACCCTCCTGACTGGTGCTTGGATCCTGAACTGCCCACTCCTCCCCCATAGTAGCCTCTCCTTTCCACACCCACCCACTAAGCTGTCTCTGGCATTGGCTCAGGGTACAGTAATGGCAGGGACAGGTGGGCCCCCCTCTCTGCTTCCCTGCCCCTCATCCTCTGGTACATGGATGGCTGCAATGGCGGTTACATTTCCCAAGGTCCCCAGTAACGTCAGCACTACGAAAAGAAAATTCCACCTGCTGGGGAGCCTGGGAAATGTAGGTGATCACACATTGTTCAACCATCTCCTTTCCTCTATCCCAGCCCAGAATTGGAAGAAATGTCCTTTTTCCTTTTCTTTTCCTTTCCTTCTTTCCTTTCATTTTACTTCCCTTCCCTTTTTCCTCTTTCCCCCTTTCCTTTCCCTTTTCTTCTTTTCCTCTTTCCATTTTCTCCTTTTCTCCTTTTCCCTTTCCCTCTTTTTCCTTTCCCTTCCCTTTCCTCCTGTAGCAACCCCAGACCTACTGGAGCCCTTTCCCTTCCCTTTCCTCCCCTTCCCCTCCCCCCCTTTCATTTTCTGAAGAGCATGGGAAGTGATAGGAAAATAACTCGCCCAGAATTTAGAAAAGGCCGTAGCAATCCTGCAGGTCCTTACATGACAAGAATGGATCATGACTCCTTGGTCTCTGCAATCACTCCCTGCTCCCATAGAATGCTGGTCATTTACAACTCTGCTGATGGCCCCAAAGCAGCTTCTTACCCTGAAAGCAGACAGGAAAGAATTAAACTAATGGGGAAATTGCAGAATAGGAGGACAGAAAAGGCATGACAGCCATGACTCCAGTGCCCCATTCCAGAAAGATTGAAAAGCGTGGAAACACTCTTTTGATTGGATATTTCAGTTCTGCACAAGGGCGCATGCACCTTGCTCTCACATACAATTACGTGGACACAATCTCTCCCACTTGTTGGAAGTCTACCACAATCATCTCGTAAGGGGGAGTAAGAGCAACTTACAGTCCAATCAATTCCAATTTACAGTACTTGGAAAAGGTCAAGCCATGGGCTTCTTCTCAACCCTTCTGATGATAAATTGTTGTGGGGGAGGAGGGGAGTCACACAACACTAGATGGCAGGAAAGGAAAGAAGGAGGGACAATGGCTTCCCTTCCTCTCCCCCTCCTCCTCAGCTCAGGGTGGGCTCAGATAGATCTGCCAATTGATGTCATTCCATCATGAGGCATTTTCTGCCTCATTTCCAAATTTGGAGCCATCGGTCAGATGATGGGGTAGACATCAGCCTAAGATCCTGGTGCCACCAGAAGTCACTTTGAAGGGGAAGTGGGGAGAAGTTGATCTGCTGGAAGTGAGGTGGGCTCTGGAGCATCCTTGCTTTGTATTACACAGGTGTCAGTGCACAGTGGTGAGGGAAACCACAGGATTTAAATCTTGACACATGTAATATTCGATGCCAACAATGACTTAGGTTGCAAGGCTCGTCTGGCTGGTGGCTAAGACCACAGAAAGATCCACCATGCTCTTCAAGGAGCCCTGTCCAGGGGAAAAATTGAATTGATCAAAGGGGGGAGTATTTCTCCACTATAGGTATTTTTTAAAGCTTCACAGAATGTTGAATATCCAGAGAATTCGGAATTTTTAAAATGGAATTTAGATCATGTTGTGAAGTCTAAAGGAAAGGAGGGCTCATTATGACCTGCTAGCCAGGATGGAAGGAAGGAAAGAAACATGGAGGTTAAGTCCTCAGCCAAGATGGGACCAGCAGTTATTGGAGATTGTCATTTAATGTGATCTTGGAGACCATTCTGAATATGTTTCCATTTGTTTGTTCTATTTTTTTTTAATAGTAATAATTTTGTTATTGATTTCTCAGTTTCACTTTTTATTATTCTTTTTTTAAGGACTGTGTTTTTCCTCTGAGGAGGAAGGAGTGTATGCTCATAAGCACTCAAGGATGGCATGTACCCATATTTTTCCATCTATAAGACACCCCCACTTTTCTAACCCAAAATTAAGAAATTTAAGTGGGGCTTAGCAAGTGTAGGGGGAAAGGGATCAAAGCTATCCCGCGACTGCATGATCATTTTCATCCCTTTCCCTCTTATACAGCCATGGGATTGCTTTGAGCCTTTTCCCCTCCCTTTGCTAAGCCCCATGGAACTTAATAAACAGAGGGGAAAGCAAGGAATAACACCATCCTGCAGTGCTTTGATCCCTGCTTTCCTTTTGCTAAGTCTTAGCAAGTGGAGGGGAAAACAGGGATCAAAGCTCTGCAGGATCACTTTGATCCCTGCTTTCCCCTCCACTTGTTTTTTCTCTCCTCAGCTTACTTCTGTATATAAGACAGCCCTCAATTTTTAGTCTAAAGATTTTAGACAAAAGTATAGTCTTATACATGGAAAAATACGGTAATTGTCTAATATAGATCTCTTACCTAGATTCTTAGTCTGGCCTTTTTCACATCACCCATGACTTTTTAGACACTGTTGATGTTCCCTTTGAAAGTTAGCATAGCAGGAGCTCATGGTGAGCAGTCAGCAATGGGGAGATAGCTGTGTAAAATTAAAAATAAATTGGAATATTAATCAGTGATGCAGTTGCAAGGGATATAAAAGGAACGACATAAAAAGGCCTGGGAGGCAAAACAAAATAAGATTCTGCTGACATATTTTACATACAGGATAGTTTTGCCGGAGATGAGATGGATGGTCTTGTAGATGTGGCCAGTTGCTTTTTTCAGCCTCTTAAGGATATACCAAATTTCTCAGTGAACCCATTCTTCCCTTGCTCCACTCTTTCTTTCAGAGCAACTCCTCTTCCTTCATAGAATATATGGCTCTCATAATAACATTCAGCAGTATTTAAGCACTGAAGAACCCCTGACAAAGTGCCAGCCGAGCTTCATGGTATGTGCAAGATTGGCCATGCTTATTTTGATACCTGAGTTTTGATACGTGATACTTACATTTCTCATGGAGTTGAAATACAATAGAAAATATTTATCATTCTTCTTTGAGACATCAGTAGATGCTCTCACTTTGGTTAATGACAAAGCCACATTAGATCTGTGAGTTTAAAAATAGAGAGAGAAGGAAGTTAAGTCTTCAGCCAATGATAAAAGGAAGCCACACATCAAAGGTCATATTTCGTTGAGTGACTACACTTTGTCCTAAAAGCTCCTGTGCTCTTCTGATGTCTCTTGCCATTGTGTTCGTCTCTACTTTTTCAGACACCAGTTCTCTCCAGACTGTAGAACATGCTCATCATCTTTCCACAAGTCTGTCAATGATGAAAGGGGGTATCACTTTTTTCTTAAGTAAAGCCATCCAATGACAAAATTTCAAGCAGAATCAAAGCTTCAACCCCCCTTTTTTTAAACCATAGTTCCCAGATTTCACTAGACTATATGGCCACAGGATATGGTCAAGGACTCAGAAAGCTGTCATCCTGATTTAGGGGAAGATGGAAGCTATGAACCTTACCTTTGAAGCACACCAATACATTGGAATATATTGGAATGGTTGCCACTTCTTTTCAAGAAGTACAGAAAAAACAGCATGAAAATGTCCTTTAGAAACCTTTCAAAAACCTTTCCTCTTGTGGTAAATGTTAATGAAGCCTTCAAAGATCCCTTTATCTTCATGAAGCAGCATCCTGACAATATCAAGGCAGAGGCTGTTAACTGCCTCTCACTTTGCCAAAGCATAGAGCCCATTATGACCTCACTCTAAGAGTTGTGTTTCTGCTTGACCTAAGCTGTATCCATGCCAACTGCAGGGGCTGATCGGCCTCTGATTAAAAAAAAACTTAAGTCTGAATCTCCAGTAAATATGATCTTTGAGCTCCTAACAGGCCTGTAGAAGAATTCCACATAGCCCGAAAGCCAGCTTCCAGTGTAAAAACCAAACCAACAAAACCCAAATACTGGTTGTCAACCTTTACCGGGCAGAGTTCTGTGACAGAACAAGGCCCTAGGCTTATAACCTGTCCTCTCCCAGACCGATCAGGTTTGGAACTGCAGAGATAAAACAACACCCTGTATTTGGAGACAAAAAGGTCATCCATCTGCAACGTTGCCTGAGAATCATCACTTTTGGATGCTCTCACCAGTTCACTGATACGGAAAGCCCCGAAAAATAAGGTAGCCACCCAAAATAACTTAACTTCACACTGGTCAATACAAACATCTTCCCAAACTTGATTCAACTGGGCTAGAAACCTAGGGGATATGGTATCTAATTGCCCCTTTCTTTGCTCCACTCCTCTATCATCTTTTTGATTTGGAAATCACCAGCCAAATCCAGGGACCCATGGGCCTTAGCATAGAATGCCAATGCCGACAATCTACCTTGAATGGCGCGGGGGGGCAGACCTTTGAAATGGAGATGAACTGCAAATTGCTGCAAATGGTCCACCATAGGCCATGGCCTACCCATGCCTTCGCGTTTGCAGAATGCAAAAAATTATTTGCATGCTGCTGCATAGGTGCGCCTGGTGCTAGGAGCAATTGGCAAACTTATCACTCTGTTGGCTTCAATCCTCTGATGCTCCGTATTTCCTGAGGCAATATGTCTGGACAAACTCGAGCTTCGGGGGCCAATTCCCTGAACCTGTCGATGCTCCATACTTCCTGAGGCAATGTGTCTGGACAAACCCGAGCTTCGGGGGCCAATTCCCTGAACCTGCCGATCTGTTGACGGGACAGGGCATCAGCCAGCTCGTTCTCTA